CTGGTGTGTGGGTCTAGACGAGCTTACAGTACTGGTGGTAATACTACCCTGGTGTGTGGGTCTAGACGAGCTTACAGTACTGGCGGTAACGGTACCCGGGTGTGTGGGTCTGGACGTGTCTATAGTACTGGTGGTAACAGTACCCTGGTGTGTGGGTCTAGACGAGTTTATAGTACTTGTGGTAACAGTACCCTGGTGTGTGGGTCTGGACGAGTTGATAGTACTGGTGGTAACAGTACCCTGGTGTGTGGATCTGGACGAGTTTATAGTACTGTTGGTAACAGTATCCTGGTGTATGGGTCTGGACGAGCTGACAGAACTGGTGGTAATAGTACCCTGGTGTGTGGGTCTAGACGAGCTTACAGTACTGCCGGTAACGGTACCCGGGTGTGTGGGACTGGACGTGTCTATAGTACTTGTGGTAACAGTACCCTGGTGTGTGGGTCTAGACGAGTCTATAGCACTGGTGGTAACACTATCCTGGTGTGTGGGTCTAAACGTGTCTATTGTACTGGTTGTAACAGTACCCTGGTGTGTGGGTCTAAACGTGTCTATAGCACTGGTGGTAACAGTACCCTGGTGTGTGGGTCTAAACGTTTCTACAGTTCTTGTGGTAACAGTACCCTGGTGTGTGGGTCTAGACGAGTCTATAGTACTGGTGGTAACAGTACCCTGGTGTGTGGTCTGGACGAGTCTATAGTACTGTTGGTAATAGTACCCTGGTGTGTGGGCCTAGACGAGTCTATGGTACTGGTGTTAACAGTACCCTGGTGTGTGGGCCTGGACGAGTCTATAGTAGTGGTGTTAACAGTATCCTGGTGTGTGGGTCTGGACGAGTTTATAGTACTGGTGGTAACAGTACCCTGGTGTGTGGGTCTGGACGAGTTTATAGTACTGGTGGTAACAATACCCTGGTGTGTGGGTCTGGACGAGTTTATAGTACTGGTGGTAACAGTACCCTGGTGTGTGGGTGTGGACGTGTCTATAGTACTGGTTGAACTCGTCACAGAAAGTACCATGTTACAATAAACAAATAAGTCTTTCCCCACTACTTGACCAACACAGCTACTTTTCACTAATGATCCGGTACTTCGATCTAATTCTCCTGTTACAATGAAGAAATTTGTATTAACAATTATCAAAAATGAAAAAGTCTGATGTTGTTATTTTGTGGGTCTGAAGGATGTCATGATGCATATTAAAGTGGTCAGTATGCCATGACATAATACTGTCAGACAGATATAGTAGATAGCTTTTTTGGAATTGTCTTACACCAAAAGTTTCGATTAAAGCAGAGTCTGTAATCTCTTGTAAGGAAGGGACAGAGAGCATACCACATGCTTTCTTCTATTCTATTGCAGTTAGATTTGCTCCTAATGTAAGCTGTAACGATTTAAGGCAATTATAGAACCCGACGTTTACATTCAAAAACATGTTTTAGGGTGTTTTGTTCAGAATACACCCAATTTGGGTTGACAGACCAGAGCTGTGATTCTTTCCCTATTATTTACAAACCTTAATAGAAATGAGAAATGTTACTGGTATACTAGCATACTGGCATACTGGCATACTGGCATACTGGTATAACTGGCATCTGACAAACTTTTCCAACATGTTAATGTAGAGAAGAACATATTAATAATTTCATTGTAATGCTCGCAACATTTTCAATTTACGATATTTACGTTTTGTGAATATGTCCTACAACCACAATTTTTCTGTTCCTCACTTCGCTTTGTTTTCAAAAGAATTTGAGAATCTAAACTCAGTGTAACTCAGTGTAACTCAGTGTAACAGCTGAGCCTCTGTGTTGACAACGTGGTCTAATGGAGGGTGACAGACACTGCAGCAATGAGTGATAAGGCCGGGGCATAATATGACCTGATGTTGATGGTATATCCACATTTGGCCTACTGAAAGGCAAAACCCAATGCGAATCGGTCAAAGACATTTACTGTCGTGGATGAATCATATCACATGAATAGAACGATATATTTCCTGCCATCGGATCGGTGAAGAAGGAAACGTCAGTTATCACCGATGGGGGCCCTTCTTCACGAACGTGCTGTTAAACTCAAGTACTGTCTGCACCACTGTAGACGTCGAAGCTTTTTTTAAAGATTTATTTCACATTTGGTGTTCTGCAGTCAGGATTAGCCTTCTTTCTGACTGGGCACCTCGCACGAATACTCTAAACGCGTGGACGTCGTAGGATTGTCCTCAAGGATACGCCTGTTGCTAGAGATGTAGACCTGTACAAGTCCCTAAGGCAAACAATATTAGTTTCAGTCATAAATTTCTAGATTAATAAATAATAAGAATAAGTTGTCCCTACAAGAGACTGACGCCCTTACTCGACTTCTCACACCCAGATGAAGAACCGTGAGAAGAACACATCCTCGACCTGGTATATCTTCGTATAACTTCTTCCAGTTTTCATGTCAATGTTTCTGAAAACCAAATGCTATTGCCTTGACAATATAATGTTCGATAACTGCATTCCCCAATATTAATCAATGAAATATGAGTTAAAGTTGGCCAAATCATTATTAACGCATGACCACTGATACCAACAGAAAGGAGTCCCACGGACAGGAACTCGTTATTGGTTGGTTAATATAATATGTACCCAATATGTAAGTATATAACGGGGGGCATATATGTTTAGTTACTGACCAATAACGAGTTCCTTCGAGTCCGACTCACAATGGTCTCACATGTGAAGGAATAAACTGATGGGGTGTGAAACAGGTGTCTGTTATATCATATGAACAACATGCAGAAAATGTGTGATGCATGTTTACTGGTTTACTGTCAGGTATTGTTAAATAAGAACTTCTCGCGTTTATCCGAGTTCATTGCTTGAGTGTTATGATATGCATTAATATGTTCGTTTTATCTTTACCACACTGGCCCTATTCCTCAAAGCGTAGTTTTACTTGCCATGTGGGAAATAACATTGTGGTCATAATCAGCAAGGGAAAGGAGGATAGTGACAGCATCCGGGATGGGGAAGGGGAGTGGGGCATAGGCATTCCATCTGGCCATAGCAGGTTCCGACCATACAGACGGTCCGTAAAACTCTGGATTTCACAAAGCTGTACTGTCCGCTTATATCTAGACATGCTTATTATAAAGATAGAATTACTATACACCCATGGACATATCATTCAGTTAAATCAGCCTTGGAGCAAAGCTACCAGAGATGGTGCGGGCTGTGACAGCTCGTGTCTGTAACCTGTGTCGAAGATGCATGGTTGGAATCCGTATGTCATCCACACGGGTGGGCGGCCACTTCCGGCACGGTCTCTAACGAAGTTATTCTCTTGATAACGTCGCCAACAGTGCCATAGGCAGAACTTTGACGGGTGGTCCAGAAGGAAATGTAGGCCAGAAGCGTGGTGAGTTTAGACAGGTGGTCCAGAAGGAAATGTAGGCCAGAAGCGTGGTGAGTTTAGACGGGTGGTCCAGAAGGAAATGTAGGCCAGGTGCGTGGTGAGTTTAGACGGGTGGTCCAGAAGGAAATGTAGGCCAGAAGCGTGGTGAGTTTAGACGGGTGATCCAGAAGGAAATGTAGGCCAGAAGCGTGGTGAGTTTAGACAGGTGGTCCAGAAAGAAATGTAGGCCAGAAGCGTGGTGAGTTTAGACGGGTGGTCCAGAAGGAAATGTAGGCCAGGTGCGTGGTGAGTTTAGACGGGTGGTCCAGAAGGAAATGTAGGCCAGGTGCGTGGTGAGTTTAGACAGGTGGTCCAGAAGAAAATGTAGGCCAGAAGCATGGTGAGTTTAGACGGGTGGTCCAGAAGGAAATGTAGGCCAGGTGCGTGGTGAGTTTAGACGGGTGGTCCAGAAGAAAATGTAGGCCAGAAGCATGGTGAGTTTAGACGGGTGGTCCAGAAGGAAATGTAGGCCAGGTGCGTTGTGAGTTTAGACAGGTGGTCCAGAAGGAAATGTAGGCCAGAAGCATGGTGAGTTTAGACGGGTGGTCCAGAAGGAAATGTAGGCCAGGTGCGTGGTGAGTTTAGACGGGTGGTCCAGAAGAAAATGTAGGCCAGGTGCGTGGTGAGTTTAGACGGGTGGTCCAGAAGAAAATGTAGGCCAGGTGCCTTGTGAGTTTAAACGGGTGGTCCAGAAGGAAATGTAGGCCAGGTGCGTGGTGAGTTTAGACGGGTGGTCCAGAAGAAAATGTAGGCCAGGTGCGTGGTGAGTTTAGACAGGTGGTCCAGAAGAAAATGTAGGCCAGAAGCATGGTGAGTTTAGACGGGTGGTCCAGAAGGAAATGTAGGCCAGGTGCGTGGTGAGTTTAGACGGGTGGTCCAGAAGAAAATGTAGGCCAGAAGCATGGTGAGTTTAGACGGGTGGTCCAGAAGGAAATGTAGGCCAGGTGCGTTGTGAGTTTAGACAGGTGGTCCAGAAGGAAATGTAGGCCAGAAGCATGGTGAGTTTAGACGGGTGGTCCAGAAGGAAATGTAGGCCAGGTGCGTGGTGAGTTTAGACGGGTGGTCCAGAAGAAAATGTAGGCCAGGTGCGTGGTGAGTTTAGACGGGTGGTCCAGAAGAAAATGTAGGCCAGGTGCCTTGTGAGTTTAAACGGGTGGTCCAGAAGGAAATGTAGGCCAGGTGCGTGGTGAGTTTAGACGGGTGGTCCAGAAGGAAATGTAGGCCAGGTGCGTGGTGAGTTTAGACGTGTGGTCCAGAAGGAAATGTAGGCCAGGTGCGTGGTGAGTTTAGACGGGTGGTCCGGAAGGAAATGTAGGCCAGAAGCGTGGTGAGTTTAGACGGGTGGCCCAGAAGGAAATGTAGGCCAGGTGCGTGGTGAGTTTAGACGGGTGGTCCAGAAAGAAGTGAAAGTCAGGTGGAGGTATAATGATGTAGCAGAGAGTTGTGTAAGGACGACAGTAACGTCTCCATATAATCATCCAGTAGGGTGTCTTTGTAAGGACGACAACAATGGTGAGAGAGAAAAAGGAGAGTGGTGATACAACAACACAGACGTTAATGCTATTTCATTTGTATAATTTTATTTATTCAAACAAGCATGTGACTCTCATATACAGAGGTTACTACTTTCACAGGAAGATTGTACATTCACTATATACACTTTTGTTGTCTACGTTAGTTGTCTACCATACTGTCACTTGTAATGCTGAATCTAGCTGGAGTGACTGGTTGAGTAACCAAGGTTAATAAACAAAATGGACGAGCCGTGCTACAATGCAAGGCTATGTTCTCCTGTGTTAATGGTTCAAGTGACAACGCTAACTTCATTTGTTGTTGCGGATTCTCAAATAAATCTTTAGTGCAACAACTGGAAATACATCAGCATGGACATACCTTTCTGAATATACCATGTGACATATCGGACACCTGGGCTGGTTGTCCTTAATTCTAATATTCATAGCATATATTATATTGCAAGTCGTCCAATGATGTGATGTGGTAAAGTACATGCAGTACCCCCGTTTCGGCCGCCGTGGTACTCAACTGACAACCATTCTGTCGCCTGCGTACAGATGTTACCAAAACTCGTAGTCTGAGGCATAGAATTGTATCACCCTTGGTCGAACTCTGAAACATGACAGAAACCATGCAGACAACGACTGTGTCGAGAGAAAGAGTCCGTTCCCAGACAAGCGTGTATGTTAAGCATATGTTCATATGCAGACATTTAATCACATCCTCAAGAACATCACTTACCGGACATCCATTGACTTGGACTTGGTGCGACGGAACTCTCCCTCGAAGCTGATGGTGCGCTCAAGTTCATCTCTCTTCTCAGTCTGAGCCTGAGTTTCTGTTGTCTCAGGCTCGAGTACACGAAATCTGTATCCTGTAACATAGTGCTCCTCAACATGCTCTGCGTGGAACTGAAACACGCATCACAACATCCGGTCACAACACTACCAACAAATGGGATGCTAGACTGGGGATATCGACGGAATAACAATCAGCGGACTTGGGTAATGATATGTATTATTATGTACGATTTTTTTTGAATAGTTGGCAGTTGGGAGAGAGCACATAACCAACTACATTGTATACTATTAATTGAAATGATATACGCCTTTACTCCCAAACGCGCAGACCACCTCCCTGGTCTGGTGGACAGAGCGTTTGCCCTGAGAATGGAATATCGGGGGTTTGATACCGGCCGTGTCATACCAAAAGACCATGTCTGTGTCGGTCAACTCAGCACATCACTGTGTATGTTCTAGAACTGATACAGCCACTCTATGTCGGCTTTGGACCCTGTCTGTGTGTCGGTCAACTCAGCACGTTACTGTGTATGTTCTAGAACTGATACAGCCACTCTATGTCGGCTTTGGACCCTGTCTGTGTCGGTCAACTCAGCACGTTACTGTGTATGTTCTAGAACTGATACAACCACTCTATGTCGGCTTTGGACCCCGTCTGTGTCGGTCAACTCAGCACGTTACTGTGTATGTCCTGGAATTGATACAACAACACTTTAAGTAGGCTTTTGACCCTGTCTATGTCGGTCAACTCACCACGTTACTGTGTATGTTCTAGAACTGATACAGCCACTCTCTGTCGGCTTTGGACCCTGTCTGTGTCGGTCAACTCAGCACGTTACTGTGTATGTCCTGGAACTGATACAGCCACTCTATGTCGGCTTTTGACCCTGTCTGTGTCGGTCAACTCACCACGTCACTGTGTATGTTCAAGAACTGATACAACCACACTTTAAGTAGGCTTTTGACCCTGTCTGCGTCGGTCAACTCAGCACGTTACTGTGTATGTTCTGGAACTGATACAGCCTCTCTATGTCGGCTTTTGACCCTGTCTGCGTCGGTCAACTCAGCACGTTACTGTTTATGTTCTGGAACTGATACAGCCTCTCTATGTCGGCTTTGGACCCTGTCTGTGTCGGTCAACTCAGCACGTTACTGTGTATGTTCTTGAACTGATACAACCAATCTATGTCGGCTTTGGACCCTGTCTGTGTCGGTCAACTCAGCACGTTACTGTGTATGTCCTGGAACTGATACAGCCACACTTTAAGTAGGCTTTTGACCCTGTCTGTGTCGGTCAACTCACCACGTCACTTTGTATGTTCTAGAACTGATACAACCACACTTTAAGTAGGCTTTTGACCCTGTCTGCGTCGGTCAACTCAGCACGTTACTGTGTATGTTCTTGAACTGATACAACCAATCTATGTCGGCTTTGGACCCTGTCTGCGTCGGTCAACTCAGCACGTTACTGTGTATGTTCTTGAACTGATACAACCAATCTATGTCGGCTTTGGACCCTGTCTGCGTCGGTCAACTCAGCACGTTACTGTGTATGTCCTGGAACTGATACAGCCACACTTTAAGTAGGCTTTTGACCCTGTCTGTGTCGGTCAACTCACCAGGTCACTGTGTATGTTCTAGAACTGATACAACCACACTTTAAGTAGGCTTTTGACCCTGTCTGTGTCGGTCAACTCAGCACGTTACTGTGTATGTTCTAGAACTGATACAGCCACTCTATGTCGGCTTTTGACCCTGTCTGTGTCGGTCAACTCAGCACGTTACTGTGTATGTTCTAGAACTGATACAGCCTCTCTATGTCGGCTTTGGACCCTGTCTGTGTCGGTCAACTCAGCACGTTACTGTGTATGTTCTAGAACTGATACAGCCACTCTATGTCGGCTTTGGACCCTGTCTGTGTCGGTCAACTCAGCACGTTACTGTGTATGTTCTAGAACTGATACAACCACTCTATGTCGGCTTTGGACCCCGTCTGTGTCGGTCAACTCAGCACGTTACTGTGTATGTCCTGGAATTGATACAACCACACTTTAAGTAGGCTTTTGACCCTGTCTATGTCGGTCAACTCACCACGTTACTGTGTATGTTCTAGAACTGATACAGCCACTCTATGTCGGCTTTGGACCCTGTCTGTGTCGGTCAACTCAGCACGTTACTGTGTATGTCCTGGAACTGATACAGCCACTCTATGTCGGCTTTGGACCCTGTCTGCGTCGGTCAACTCAGCACGTTACTGTGTATGTTCTGGAACTGATACAGCCTCTCTATGTCGGCTTTGGACCCTGTCTGTGTCGGTCAACTCAGCACGTTACTGTGTATGTTCTTGAACTGATACAACCAATCTATGTCGGCTTTTGACCCTGTCTGTGTCGGTCAACTCAGCACGTCACTGTGTATGTTCTAGAACTGATACAACCACACTTTAAGTAGGCTTTTGACCCTGTCTGCGTCGGTCAACTCAGCACGTTACTGTGTATGTTCTAGAACTGATACAGCCACTCTATGTCGGCTTTGGACCCTGTCTGTGTCGGTCAACTCAGCACGTTACTGTGTATGTTCTAGAACTGATACAGCCACTCTATGTCGGCTTTGGACCCTGTCTGTGTCGGTCAACTCACCACGTTACTGTGTATGTTCCAGAACTGATACAGCCACTCTATGTCGGCTTTGGACCCTGTCTGTGTCGGTCAACTCAGCACGTTACTGTGTATGTTCTAGAACTGATACAGCCTCTCTATGTCGGCTTTGGACCCTGTCTGTGTCGGTCAACTCACCACGTCACTGTGTATGTTCTAGAACTGATACAACCACACTTTAAGTAGGCTTTTGACCCTGTCTGCATCGGTCAACTCAGCACGTTACTGTGTATGATCTGGGAATGATACAGCCACTCTATGTCGGCTTTTGACCCTGTCTGTGTCGGTCAACTCAGCACGTTACTGTGTATGTTCTAGAACTGATACAGCCTCTCTATGTCGGCTTTGGACCCTGTCTGTGTCGGTCAACTCAGCACGTTACTGTGTATGTTCTAGAACTGATACAGCCTCTCTATGTCGGCTTTGGACCCTGTCTGTGTCGGTCAACTCAGCACGTTACTGTGTATGTTCTAGAACTGATACAGCCACTCTATGTCGGCTTTGGACCCTGTCTGTGTCGGTCAACTCAGCACGTTACTGTGTATGTTCCAGAACTGATACAGCCACTCTATGTCGGCTTTGGACCCTGTCTGTGTCGGTCAACTCAGCACGTTACTGTGTATGTTCTAGAACTGATACAGCCTCTCTATATCGGCTTTGGACCCTGTCTGTGTCGGTCAACTCACCACGTCACTGTGTATGTTCTAGAACTGATACAACCACACTTTAAGTAGGCTTTTGACCCTGTCTGCGTCGGTCAACTCAGCACGTTACTGTGTATGATCTGGGAATGATATAGCCACTCTATGTCGGCTTTTGACCCTGTCTGTGTCGGTCAACTCAGCACGTTACTGTGTATGTTCCAGAACTGATACAGCCACTCTATGTCGGCTTTGGACCCTGTCTGTGTCGGTCAACTCAGCACGTTACTGTGTATGTTCTAGAACTGATACAGCCTCTCTATGTCGGCTTTGGACCCTGTCTGTGTCGGTCAACTCACCACGTCACTGTGTATGTTCTAGAACTGATACAACCACACTTTAAGTAGGCTTTTGACCCTGTCTGCGTCGGTCAACTCAGCACGTTACTGTGTATGTTCCAGAACTGATACAGCCTCTCTATGTCGGCTTTGGACCCTGTCTGTGTCGGTCAGCTCAGCACGTTACTGTGTATGTCCTGGAACTGATACAGCCACTCTATGTCGGCTTTGGACCCTGTCTGTGTCGGTTAACTCAGCACGTCGCTGTTCATGTTCTGGAACTGATACAGCCACACTTTAAGTAGGCTTTTGACCCTGTCTGTGTCGGTCAACTCACCACTTTACTGTTCATGTTCTGGAAATGATACAGCCACTTTAAGTAGGCTATTGACCCCGTCTGTGTCTCCAGCAGCACGTTAATCCCGGCGCCCTGCTGACCAATCTGTAGCTTGTCCTGGCCGGCCACCTGGTGGAAGCCAGCTAACATTCCATTGATGCCGGTATACGTGCCGGAAAACTTCACCCAACCTGGAGCAACAGTTCGTATGTCACACTTGTGGAAGACACTCTCGAGTGTAGAACACATCTCAGCTAAACCTGTCTCAATATTCCTGCTTCAACAATGGACCCGCTTAACTGATACGTCATGATAATAGCTTTTCTCCAAGTGATCTTGGTATGAATTGGTGACATCATTGAGTGAATGGAATCAAGAATGTTTTGAATGGGTTCAAATTGCATCCTTCACATATGTGTCTTGGTGTGTCAGCAACATAGCCGTGCATGAAGGTTTCACAAACATCATAAAACAATATGCTCTTAACTTTAGATTTTCTTAACACATTAACAAACGGAGCCATTGCTGCAGTACGTAAGAAATAGTCTGGATTAGTCTTCCCAAATGATTCCCACTAATTTAAAGTTACCTTCCGAGTGGGCGTTTTTGTCTACATCTTCACCAGCGCTGCCATAGAACAGAGGAAACACATTCTGAAAACCGTTTATTACCGTAACAATAATATAAAATAAATGTATAAAGTGATATAAGATGCTGCCTTCAACTGATATCGACTGATTACAAACTCGTAAACTCGCCCAACCTAAAAATGAAGAGCATATAGCGCGAAATGAAAAATAAGATACTAACATTTAGACGCAGCTTCCCCGTTGGGCATAATAACAGTTTTGATGATCTTAACAAAAACAAACGAGAACATAACATACTTTTATCTTTTGAATTTGAGGAAAGTACAATTTGGGGGCTCCAGTTTGTCCTTACCGGACATCCCTGTGTGGTCTTTGAGCAGGCAGATACTCCCCCTCTGCGTGGAACTCACGTTTCTTGGAGGCTAGACTCTTCGCCATACCCACTACAACAGAACATCTGGTCTATGCAGGATGGTTATATACTTCATCATTTATATAAGGGTAACGCTATTTGTCAGGGTATCGCTTGCCCCCTACGTCTTAATGGCAGACCTCGAGATTCTGCAAATGACAATGCCCTGAAAATATTGTTACCGTAATTTTACAGTAATAGATAGCATTGGTCATTATCATGATAAATATCCCTAAAGTGAGTCAAAGGAAACAAACAGCAACAGCGTATGATAAGAAGCTGCATTACAAGCGATGGAGCGACAGGTGTGGACTTAATTACCAACGTCACACGTGGCGCACACGGCTCACTTCGTTTTATTTGATTTGATAAGAAGGTGTTGTTTTCATTCATTACTAATAACGAGACGTTTTAAATTGACACTTTATTAAACCTAACAAGATCGTTGGATGTTCCGTCTGTGTCATCAGTGCCCCCTTTGACGTTATTTTGTGGCATTGTTTCCGAAAGTGTTTGTTTTGGAAACAACGTACATAGCCATCAGATCAGATCACTCAAAGTGAACAGTCCCAAACCAGATCATACAGGAACTCCACGGAAGTGTCCTGACTTCTGATTTGGTGTTCTAAAACATGACCAATAACATTCTGTGTTGATCTCTAGCTGTAACCGTTGTGTGTAGATCACAGTGGTCTTTTCTTATTCTGTTGGTGACCTTTTCCTTCGTTTGAAGCTGTCACTGACACGATATGGGACTCGAATGTATTAGGGTCGTTTCAGTTTATCTGAACGTCTTTGATGAGTACTCTGATTCTCTTTTCCAAAATGGTACGGACAGCATGTTGATTCAGCTGACAGATCATGGAACTTTACACTTAAATACATCTTTAACAATCTACGGAAAGGTACTATGGACTACCTATTGAATACATCATCTGCCTCCAAACACAAGTACGTTAGTGCATTACTTAAACTGAAGGTGACTTTTTGAATTTGACGGATATTTAATACAAAGAATGCATACACATTCTAATATTATTTTCTGTAAATACGGTATATATCAGTTTCAGTCTGTATGGCATGTACTCACCATGGTAACGAAATGTCTTCAGCCAGCGATTGTCATCCGTCTTCATCAGCAAGTCCGACCAGAATCCATAGCCAAGGGCACAACCGGCATATCCTATTAGGGGACCAGGGTATTCATGCACACTAATAATATTCATATAGTGTTTCTTCCCTACAAATGCAAAGACAAATGAAATGTCAGTGACCTGCACATGCATGTCAAAAGATCTGTTTTACTTACGGGTTTGGTCACTCTTGACACAAGGAACCATTCTTCTCAGCAGTATATGGTAACCGTTTGTATACAGGTGGATACAGCTGTGAGGAAGGACCTCAGTCAATCTTACCTCGGACAGCCACGAGTGCCCCTGTCTCCAGGTCCGTGCATCCATGACACGACATAGAGATTCCGTTACCCGTGCCTGAAATGGATAGAATATCATGTGATTAGCATCGTTAGGAAGGTAAAGTCTTGTTAACACATCTGCAGGAGAAGAAGAAACACACGCGTATTTCTTGCATTTGTAGTTCAACTCTGAACTTATATTATCAGTATGTGTACTGTTGTCCTATTATCTTCGAGATGTTGCATTAACATGCATACTGACCTGTAGGTAGAGTGCCAAGTGCTATTGGCAATAGCTTGAGTTCTGCATCTGGGTCATCAAGGTCTACCCCCTCGTTATAGCGGGGTATTAACGTATGCAGCACCTCCTGGAACAACCCATCTCCCCCGGACACAATCAACCTGTGTGACAGTGTGGAGAGATGGAACAGTCGTACGCATAGAAGCAGCAACAGTGTGGAGAGATGGAACAGTCGTACGCATAGAAGCAGTAACAGTGTGGAGAGATGGAACAATCGCAGACATAGAAGCAGTAACAGTGTGGAGAGATGGAACAGTCGTACGCATAGAAGCAGTAACAGTGTGAAGAGATGGAACAATCACAGACATAGAAGCAGTAACAGTGTGGAGAGATGGAACAATCACAGACATAGAAGCAGTAACAGTGTGAAGAGAAGGAACAGTCACAGACATAGAAGCAGTAACAGTGTGGAGAGATGGAACAGTCGAAGGCAGATGTAGTAACAGTGTGGAGAGATGGAACAATTACAGACATAGAAGCAGTAACAGTGTGGATAGATGGAACAATCACAGACATAGAAGCAGTAACAGTGTGAAGAGATGGAACAATCACAGACATAGAAGCAGTAACAGTGTGAAGAGATGGAACAATCACAAACATAGAAGCAGTAACAGTGTGGAGAGATGGAACAATCACAGACATAGAAGCAGTAACAGTGTGAAGAGATGGAACAATCACAGACATAGAAACAGCAACAGTGTGGAGAGATGGAACAATCACAGACATAGAAGCAGTAACAGTGTGGAGAGATGGAACAATCACAGACATAGAAGCAGTAACAGTGTGAAGAGAAGGAACAGTCACAGACATAGAAGCAGTAACAGTGTGAAGAGATGGAACAATCACAGACATAGAAGCAGTAACAGTGTGAAGAGATGGAACAATCACAGACATAGAAGCAGTAACAGTGTGGAGAGATGGAACAATCACAGACAAAGAAGCAGTAACAGTGTGGAGAGATGGAACAGTCGCAGACATAGAAGCAGTAACTGTGTGGAGAGATGGAACAGTCGTAGGCACTGAAGCAGTTACAGTGTGGAGAGATGGAACAGTCGTAGGCACAGTGGCAGTAACAGTGTGGAGAGATAGAACAGTCGTAGGCACAGAAGCAGTTACAGTGTGGAGAGATGGACCAGTCGGAGGCACAGAAGCAGTAACTGTGTGGAGAGCTGGAACAGTCGTAGGCACAGAAGCAGTAACAGTGTGGAGAGATGGACCAGTCGTAGGCACAGAAGCAGTAACTGTGTGGAGAGATGGAACAGTCGTAGGCACAGAGGCAGTAACAGTGTGGAGAGATGGAACAGTCGTAGGCACAGAGGCAGTAACAGTGTGGAGAGATGGAACAGTCGTAGGCACTGAAGCAGTAACAGTGTGGAGAGATGGAACAGTCGTAGGCACTGAAGCAGTAACAGTGTGGAGAGATGGAACAGTGATAGGCACAGAAGCAGTATGCATGTAACATGACGTTCCTTATTTGGTTATCGACATTATCACGCCTATTTTGCATTATTTTGCAATAAGTAAGTCACATATCAACTCGTCCAAAGAAAAGCAGAGAACAAACATAGTTTACTTGGATTCTTCCCACCAGTTTAAATCCAAACCCATGTCAAACTTACCCGTCCACAGTGGAGAAGTCATACGTTTTGGCTATTTCTTCTGCATGACGGAATCTTTCTGTGACTGCATTTAATATAACATGTTTTTGATAAGCTGTATATCGACAAACATTTTATTAACAAAATCAGTTGGTCATTTCGGGTTCCAAGTTGCAACTTTCGATACCTGTTCACTACTCATACTTTGTACTTGAAGAGAAGAAAGGGGACATTTGAAATTACAGACTACCCTGAATGTGTGTACTGATATGTATCAGTATGAACAGATGATTGACATATACACCATGTGTAGGTAATTCAAAAAATATATATACCGTGTAATATACAATGATAGAAATATATACTATGTGTAGCATACACTGAACGAATATATAAATGTAATGAATAAATTCAATGAGAGAGTTGACATGATCCACACATATACTACATTGTATATGTACGAGGGCTGGCTGAAAAGTTCTAAGCCTAAGTGGGATATATCAATCGGATTGAAACAAACTTTTACCACCAACAAGTACAACCATTTAATGAATCATAGACATAAGAACTGAAACTGTAGTGTTATTATTGTCTTTGTACCAGACCATCTTGTGAACCTACCCATTGAAATCACCAGAAATGGACGAAACTGGCTATAGGGCAGTCATCAAGAACATGCAACTGAAAGGGCTAACTCCAACACAGATACATGCTGACATGGTCTCCACTTTAGGGGATGATGCCCCTTCCTTTTCCACTGTAAAGAAGTGGGCTGCGGAATTCAAGCGTGACAGAGAGAGCCTTGACGATGACCCGCGTCCAGGAAGGCCTTCAACAGCAACCATTCTGGAAAACATTACCCGGGTGCATGACATGGTGATGGCTGATCAACGATTGACCACTCGACATATTGCCAGTGGTGTGGGCATCTCTCGTGAGAGGGTTGAGCACATTATCACCAACGAGTTGGGAATGACAAAAGTTTCTGCAAGATGGGTGCCAAAGCTCTTGACAGCGGATCAGAAACGTGTCAGATTCCTGACGTCCCGTGACAATATATATCGTTTTGAAGCAGATCCCGATGATTTTTTGGCCCGATTTGTAACCATGGATGAGACCTGGATTCATCACTTTCAACCAGAAACCAAAATTCAGTCTTAACAATGGAAGCATCCGGAATGCTCACTAAAGGAGTCCTGTTCCACCAAGACAATGCTCCTGTTCACAAATCGGTGGTTGCCATGTCAGCGATCCATGATTGTGGCTTCGAACTCATTGACCATCCCCCTTATTCACCCGATTTGGCCCCGTCAGACTTCCACCTGTTTCCCAAAATGAAAAAGGAACTAGCCGGTCGCCATTTTCCTAGTAATGATGACGTCATTTCCGCTGTGAATGACTTTTCTAAGGACGGTTGAAGAAAATTTCTTCTTGACCGGCATCCAGGCCTTGCAGCATCGCAGGCAAAAGTGTGTAAACCTGGAAGGGGACTATGTGGATAAATAAATAAAAACCATCGACTTGATACGGGTCTTTCACAGTTAGGCTTAGAACTTTTCAGCCAGCCCTCGTACTTGATATGAGGTGGCACGGGTGGCCCAGTCGTCTAAGGCGCCGCGATTCGCTGTGCAGAGTTGCGTCCCTTGGGCATCCCGGTTCGCCCCGATTATGTTTCTAGGTTTGTCAGCACCATACCCGTGCTCGTGGGTTTCACCGAAGTGGTAAACGTCTGAGACCTGCATCACTTCGGGCTTTCCTCCCATATTAAGCTGACACGCCGCGATATAACTGGAATACTGTTAAAAACAGCGTTAAGCCCAACTCACTCACTCACTCACTCACTACATGACATGATGTATTGCTAAAGGCGGCGTAAAACCCAACTCACACACTCACTCACTTGACATGATGCACATGGTTACCATATAGAGTTGACATAATCCACACATATACCATGTGTATATGATCAACATGCATGTGGTAAAAAAAAAATCAATATTTGATCAATAACAATATCAATACGATATATGTGATTCACATATATACCATAATTAAAGTAACACCTACTTATAAGCTTCGCGTCAATCCCCGCCAGTGCAAACAGTGGTTCTACAATAGTCTCGTACAGCTTGGCTCCTTTCTTCTGTCCCCCGATTGGGTTGACCAGAGTCAGCAGACATTTAGGGCGACCTGAGAGAATAAGAAATGTAGCCTGACATGTTTTAGAAAAATAAAAAGTCAGCGGTTCAAGAAATACAATTTGTTTCTCTGAAAGTAGGAACCAAACATTTTCACTACATGTCAAGAGTTTCCAACCTCCTCAGAACAAATTGAAGCCATTCCTTCTGTTGTCCCGCCTGTACTCACCATGTCCAGTTTTATCACCTACACTGTCTAGCCATTCCGGCTGTTGTCCCGCCCGTACTCACCATGTCCAGTTTTATCAGAGACACTGTCTCGCCATTCCTTCTGTTGTCCCACCTTTACTCACCATGTCACCAGTTTTATCACCTACACTGTCTAGCCATTCCGTCTGTTGTCCCGCCTGTACTCACCATGTCCAGTTTTATCACCTACACTGTCTAGCCATTCCGGCTGTTGTCCCGCCCGTACTCACCATGTCCAGTTTTATCAGACACACTGTCTAGCCATTCCTTCTGTTGTCCCACCTTTACCCACCATGTCACCAGTTTTATCACCTACACTGTCTAGCCATTCCGTCTGTTGTCCCGCCTGTACTCACCATGTCCAGTTTTATCACCTACACTGTCTAGCCATTCCGGCTGTTGTCCCGCCTGTACTCACCATGTCCAGTTTCATCAGACACACTGTCTAGCCATTCCTTCTGTTGTCCCACCTTTACTCACCATGTCACCAGTTTTATCACCTTCACTGTCTAGCCATTCCGTCTGTTGTCCCGCCTGTACTCACCATGTCCAGTCTTATCACCTACACTGTCTAGCCATTCCGTCTGTTGTCCCGCCTGCACTCACCATGTCCAGCCTTATCAGCTACACTGTCTAGCCATTCCGTCATTTGTCCAGCCTGTACTCACCATGTTACCAGTTTTATCAACTAGACTGTCTAGCCATTCCGTCTGTTGTCCCGCCTGTACTCACCATGTCCAGTCTTATCAACCACACTGTCTAGCCATTCCTTCTGTTGTCACACCTGTACTCACCATGTCCAGTCTTATCAATCACACTGTTTAGCCATTCCTTCTGTTATCCCGCCTGTACTCGCCATGTCAGCAGTTTTATCAGCTCCACTGTCTAGCCATTCCGTCAGTTGTCCCGCCTGTACTCACCATGTCCAGTCTTATCAGCTACACTGTCTCGCCATTCCGTCTGTTGTCCCGCCTGTACTCACCATGTCCAGTTTTATCAGCTACACTGTCTCGCCATTCCGTCTGTTGTCCCGCCTGTACTCGCCATGTCCAGTCTTATCAGCTACACTGTCTAGCCATTCCGTCTGTTGTCCCGCCTGTACTCACCATGTCACCAGTTTTATCAACTACACTGTCTAGCCATTCCGTCTGTTGTCCCGCCTGTACTCGCCATGTCCAGTCTTATCAGCTACACTGTCTAGCCATTCCGTCTGTTGTCCCGCCTGTACTCACCATGTCCAGTCTTATCAACTACACTGTCTCGCCATTCCGTCTGTTGTCCCGCCTGTACTCGCCATGTCCAGTCTTATCAGCTCCACTGTCTAGCCATTCCGTCAGTTGTCCCGCCTGTACTCACCATGTCCAGTCTTATCAACTACACTGTCTAGCCATTCCGTCTGTTGTCCCGCCTGTACTCACCATGTCGAGTTTTATCAGCTGCACAGTCTAACCATTCCGTCTGTTGTCCCGCCTGTACTTACCATGTCGAGTTTTATCAGCTGCACAGTCTAACCATTCCGTCTGTTGTCCCGCCTGTACTCACCATGACCAGTCTTATCAGCTACACTGTCTAGCCATTCCGTCTGTTGTCCCGCCTGTACTCACCATTTCACCAGTTTTATCACCTACACTGTCTAGCCATTCCTTCTGTTGTCCCGCCTGTACTCACCATGTCACCAGTTTTATCAACTACACTGTCTAGCCATTCCTTCTGTTGTCCCGCCTGTACTCACCATGTCACCAGTTGTATCACCTACACTGTCTAGCCATTCCGTCAATTGTCCCGCCTGTACTCACCATGACCAGTCTTATCAGCTACACTGTCTAGCCATTCCTTCTGTTGTCCCGCCTGTACTCACCATGTCACCAGTTTTATCACCTACACTGTCTAGCCATTCCGTCTGTTGTCCCGCCTGTGCTCACCATGTCCAGTCTTATCACCTACACTGTCTAGCCATTCCGTCTGTTGTCCCGCCTGTATTCACCATGTCCAGTCTTATCACCTACACTGTCTAGCCATTCCTTCTGTTGTCCCGCCTGTACTCACCATGTCCAGTCTTATCAGCTACACAGTCTAGCCATTCCGTCTGTTGTCACGTCTGTACTCACCCTGTCCAGTTTTATCAGCTACACAGTCTAGCCATTCCTTCTGTTGTCCCGCATGTCCTATAAACGTAACGTGTTTGTGTCTGAGGATGTTGTTCTCCTGATGTTCGATGTAGTGTAGGGTGAATCTGTCCTCCTGTGGCGCCACCCCCACCCTCGCCTTCACGCCCGGCCCCCGGGACACCCCGCCCAGGTAGGCAGTGATCACGTCATCCCATTCGACACGACTGTCTAAAATATAAAAAGTACCATAAAAGTTTCTCTGTTTGCAAAGCTTAGATAATAAAAAACACATGTATTTTACCTGCTAATTTCAGGTGATGTTTACTTTTTGCGAATATAGGAATTAATGTACCAATTGAGGGTCCATTGTTATGTTATATCTGGTACACAGGTTTTATCTTGCCGACAATAACAAGGCGGGGCGCTAGGTGTCACACTGACCCGGCTGTTGAGAAACCTGCAGTTTGATAACAAAATTACAATTCCCCGAAAAGAGAAAGATTGTCTGACCTGTACTTTGACCTTGACCTCTCCAGGTGAGACCCGAGTCGATCAGCTCAAGTCGGACAGTTTTTCCCGACAGGGTAAATTCTCCCGCCAGCCGTACCCCTAGGGGTATCTCTCTGGTGTCTGTACCGAAAACAGAGATGTTCGCTTCAGTGTCCACAGAGGCCATGTTGAACTGATCACTGCAAATGTCAGTGAAAGAATTTCTACTATTTGATAGTTTCCTTCCGGTTGAATTCCGTTCTATATCTTGACCGGCCGACACGGTTAGCGTTATAGCGGGGTCCTCTCAGCTGAAGAACAGGGAGGGTGTTGATTTTTCCAGGAGCGCGGGCTTAATGGCGACGGTGGCAGTCACGAGCAGGCTAGTCATATCAGGTTTTTATACCATTTGTTGTGATAATCGTCATGTAGACACATCGAGACACATTTACATTTTGCAAGCACTCAGCGTCCTGTCCCGCGATCGTGACTGACCTAGAAAGGGGCACAACTAGATAAGAGACGACGGATTTTATGCGGGTATATACATCGACCGACCTGTGACTCACACACTACCAGTGTGTGAATGGTTCAATGTTGCATGTGTAAAAAAAACACGCATTTGTGGTTACTACAATCATTGTTTTTAATGTAATCCTATTGCTTGAATGCGATTCGGTCAAAGTGTGTCGTGGGAGACAATCTACAGTTGGTTCTCTCAAACGCATGTGTAATCTGTTTCCTTAAAACAGCGAACATAACATGCAGTTGTTTTTCTGCGGTAAACGATTTCCATTTATATACAACGCATACATCAAAACACACACACACACGCACACACACACACACACACACACACACACACACACACACACGCACTGGTTACAGTTAATGGCTACCTGTCGGTAGAAAGTGGGGTGAAAGTATTTCTCGAGCAAAGCCATAATCTTTCACGTAGAGACATGGGCATGAAAGACAGTATGGCCGTAACACTTATTCAGTAAATAATCTCCTTTTGTCCCGCTGTGATATAACTGAACCAGTTGTTGACTGCGATTTGAAATGCCCATTGAGCACCATTTAACCTTACTTGGAAAACAAAGTACAACATAAACATATATAAATATATATAGAAAAAATATAGTTTATTGCAAAAACATTAACTGACGAGCAAAAGAAAAGTAACCAACACAAAGACTGAAATCAGCACATGATGATATACTAAATTAAGGGAACTTCTTATCAATTAACAATGTAGGTATGAAGTTTTAATACCAGGTGACAACAAACGCACTGTAAAGATGGTTTCGCGACTGAAGATAGTTATTGGCGCATGTTGAATGGAGCGCACCTGACTGAGATGACTTCATTTGAGTCACAATCGGGGTTGTAGTTTTTGCTTCATCGTTAATTTAAAGATAGAGATAGAGTAATTAATCAAAAGTATCTCTCTATACGCCTCGATAAATAACAGATAAGTTCCCCTTAGACTTGATATTTCCCATACTACACAAGGGCATTGCGTTATGCCTTCTGAAACTGACCTGGATCATCACAGAGACTTCTTTGATAGGCATTTAGAAGTTGGAGTACTAAGTAAGGATAAGAATTTATGGATAAACAACTTCTTTATTACAATTAAGAGCGACGTTTCGGTGTAGGTTCTAACATCGTTATCAAGCAAGTGATATACAGAGTGTGGTTGGCAAGTATATATACAAGTAGGAGGCAATGTTTATACTGAAGAGTAGATATTGTTATACTGGAGTAGAAAAGCCTGTTATGTACACAAGGGTAGTGATGACAATCATCGGTGAAGTCAGTGACATAAACAAAGGATGAAGCCAGTAATATAAACAACGGAATTATGGCTGATTGGGGCATTTGATGAGTTGATGGAACGCCGGGGGTATGTACGAGGGCTGGCTGAAAAGTTCTAAGCCTAACTGTGAAAGACCCGTACCAAGACGATGGTTTTCATTTATTTATCCACATAGTCCCCTTCCAGATTTACACACTTTTGCCTGCGATGCTGCAAGGCCTGGATGCCGGTCAAGAAGAAATTTTCTTCAACCGTCCTTAGAAAAGTCATTCACAGCGGAAATGACGTCATCATTACTAGGAAAATGGTGACCGGCTAGTTCCTTTTTCATTTTGGGAAACAGGTGGAAGTCTGACGGGGCCAAATCGGGTGAATAAGGGGGATGGTCAATGAGTTCGAAGCCACAATCATGGATCGCTGACATGGCAACCACCGATTTGTGAACAGGAGCATTGTCTTGGTGGAACAGGACTCCTTTAGTGAGCATTCCCCGTCGCTTAGCTTTGATAGCTTCACGCAACTGTCTCAGTAGGTCAGCATAATATCTTCCATTGATAGTCTGGCCTTTTTCAAGATAGTCAATCAGCAGAATACCCCTGGAAACTAAAAAGACTGAAGCCATCACCTTTCCAGCAGAAGGAACCGACCTGGCTTTTTGGGGGGCTGGTGATTCCGGATGCTTCCATTGTTAAGACTGAATTTTGGTTTCTGGTTGAAAGTGATGAATCCAGGTCTCATCCATGGTTACAAATCGGGCCAAAAAATCATCGGGATCTGCTTCAAAACGGCATAAATTGTCACGGGACGTCAGGAATCTGACACGTTTCTGATCCGCTGTCAAGAGTTTTGGCACCCATCTTGCAGAAACTTTTGTCATTCCCAACTCGTTGGTGATAATGTGCTCAACCCTCTCACGAGGGATGCCCACACCACTGGCAATATGTCGAGTGGTCAATCGTTGATCAGCCATCACCATGTCATGCACCCGGGTAATGTTTTCCAGAATGGTTGCTGTTGAAGGCCTTCCTGGACGCGGGTCATCGTCAAGGCTCTCTCTGTCACGCTTGAATTCCGCAGCCCACTTCTTTACAGTGGAAAAGGAAGGGGCATCATCCCCTAAAGTGGAGACCATGTCAGCATGTATCTGTGTTGGAGTTAGCCCTTTCAGTTGCAGGTACTTGATGACTGCCCTATAGCCAGTTTTGTCCATTTCTGGTGATTTCAATGGGTAGGTTCACAAGATGGTCTGGTACAAAGACAATAATAACACTACAGTTTCAGTTCTTATGTCTATGATTCATTAAATGATTGTACTTGTTGGTGGTAAAAGTTTGTTTCAATCCGATTGAGATATCCCACTTAGGCTTAGAACTTTTCAGCCAGCCCTCGTACATATACAATGTAGTATATGTGTGGATCATGTCAACTCTCTCATTGAACTTATTCATTACATTTATATATTCGTTCAGTGTATGCTACACATATTATATATTTCTGTCATTGTATATTACACGGTATATATATTTTTGTCTTTGAGGTTGGTGTTGAGGGCTGTGACTCTCTCCCACTGAATGCTGTGGCTTGGGTTGTCACGGATGTGGTCTGGTAGAGCTGATTTAGAGTCATATTTGGAGACTGAACTTTGATGTTCTTTTATTCGGGTTTTGAGGGGCCTAGATGTTTCTCCTATGTAAGCTTGTCCACAGTTGCATGGAATGTGGTACACTGCTCCTGGTGGTTCTAGCTTGTGGCTCGATGATGGTTTCCATGTGGCTTTAATTGTTCTGAATGGTATGACCTCTCTTGAAAATTACATCAATGTTGGCCTGTTTCTTTAAGAGTCTCTGGATTTTGTGGCTTACTGTTCCAAAGTAAGGGAGGCTGATTACAAAGGGCGCAGACTGTTGACAGGGGGATTTCCGAGATTTCTTGGTGATGTTCTGTATCGTCTGTTGTACTAGTTGCTCAGGATAGAGGTTATACTGTGTAAATACTTGTTTGAGCTGGTTTAGTTCAGTAGTTAGATGTTGCTTCGTGGAACAGATGTTTTGAGCTCGTCTTGCTGGGGTTGAAACAATTCCTTTCTTGACTTGAGGTGGATGGTTGGAGGCATAGTGTATGTATTGATCTGTGTGGGTAGGTTTCCGATACACAGTGGTCTGGAGTTTGTCGTTACTATCTTTCTGTACGAGTACATCAAGGAAGGTGGGCTGTCGATTGGTTTCTTCCTCCATGGTGAACTGCATTCGTGCCTTGTGTGTACATAACAGGCTTCTCTACTCCAGCATAACAATATCTACTCTACTGTAACAAACATTGCCTCCTACTTGTACATATACTTGCCAACCACACTCTGTAAGATGGGCGAGTACATTTACCCCACACTGGTGATGTTAACGGATGCATGTGTGTATGTGTGTGTGTGTGTGTGTGTGTGTGTGCGTGTGTGTGTGTGCGCGTGTGTGCGTGTGCGTGTATGAGGGTTGTTTGATAAATTTTGAACCTCAAGCAATTGTGTGATAGTGAAATCTTTTGTTATTGAAATAATGTCACAGGGTGAGATCAACAAAACCTTGAATCAGTTGTTCAAGGTATTTCACTGTGACAAGTGACCTTTTAACACAGTAAATCTTGCACATTGTGGTAAAAGCACGAACTTTAGCACACATTTTAACCATCTCAGCATATTAGAATGAAGATACAGTGCCTTGAAGTCTGGTGTATTGTGCAACAGGAGTGTCATCCGACGTTCAAGTTCTGGTTCATGGTCCTTGAACTACAACTCACCATGCTTGTGTTTGTGCGATCTATTCGTACTGGCAACTTCCATCTGTATGTCGATTCTCTGACCAAGCTTGTTTTCTCTCTTGATCACTACCACTATGCACGATGGATATTAGTCCACCTCCGTAAAAGCTGCACCCAAATATCTATGCTCAGTTCTTGAATGGACAGTTCAAAGTGAACAAGACAACTCATGCTTACTCAAGAATTGCTATTGATCAAGCACATGAGCAGAATCATGCTGTGGTAAAAGATGATGGTGGAGCTGTTGGGGTGACTGAGAATCGAGCTACTCTCCAGAGATGGATGGTCAGTGGACCTGAGATGGCACGTCTCATCAATGACTTTGAAGTTTCATTTGATGATGCACAGAAGACACCTGACATGCTTGAAAGGCTTGGATGTGAACAATACACTGCATTTGTGAAAGAGCGTCTTGTAGGAAGGTCAAAATCTATAGACGACCCAATAAATAATAATAATAATAATAATGATAATAATAAAAGGATCAGGTATGCCCACCATCCCTTTCAGACAGGGGCAAACTCAGGCTTGGCACTAAATCTGACATAGTTTAATGCCTGGAAGATGTTTTGCTGAAGCAAGATGAGATAAATACAGGTACAAAGGTTGTAGTGATAGATGGGCCAGCAATAGTTCACATGTTGAAGCCAGGTTCAACAAAGACTTTCAAAGAGTATTCTCAGGATGTCTTTCTACCATACCAAGTGCCAACGAATAGATATTGTTTGGGATGAATATAGGTCAAACTCTTTGAAAGAACAAACACGAGCTAAGAGAGGTAAAGGAGGGCGCCGTCGAGTACAGCCAAACAATCCAATCTAAAAAAACTGGGATACTTTTTGGGAGACTACTTGAAACTTGCTGACAATAAGAAAGAACCATTCGTGTTTCTCAGCACAGAAGCCAACACTATCCAAACCGACAAGCAAGTCATTAGCACACTGCACGAGGATGTTGTCTGTCAACTGCCTAGAACAACAGAAGGACTAGCGCCTTGCACACACGAGGAAGCAGACAGCCGAATTATGGTCCATGTCGCTGATGCAGCTAAACAGTACAAGATTCTCATCCGTACAGTGGACAGTGATGCTGTTGTGCTTGCTGTACAGCTAAGAATGCTACTTACTGCTTTGTGGATGGCCTTTGGAACAGGCAAACGCTTCTGACTGATTCCGGCACATGACATCGCTTTAGCAATTAGACCAGACAAAAGTCTCGCACTTCCCATGTCACTTTGCCTTGACAGGATTTGACACTGTCTCCTGCATCGCCGAAAGGGGAAAGAAAGAAGCGTGGGGCATATGGAATATGTACCATGAGGTCACTAATGAGTTTGCTGCACTAATGAACCAGCCACAACTGACAGATGTCGATAGGTCTATGGACACTGTAGAGAGAGCTTTTGTTCTACAAATGACAAAACCAGCTTGAAGTGTCATGTGAACGAGGCAAGAGTGGATCTCTTTGCACACAAAGGAAGAGATGTGAACAACATTTCACCAACACAATATGCCCTTCTACACCACGTGAGAAGAGTAGCTTACCAGGCTGGGCATTTTTGGAGCCAGGTTCTTAGACCAGTGGTTGACATACCACGACCAGAAGGATGGGGTTGGACAAGAACTGATAGAGGAACATGGGAAGTCATTTGGAGCAGCCTCCCACAGGCCAGCACAGTGTGCAGAGAACTACTGCGATGTGGCTGCACAAAAGGTTGTGAGCAAACTGCAAGTGCGTGAAAGCAGCATTAAGCTGTACTGCACTGTGCAAGAGTGATGGATGTTGCTGGTATATGTATGTGTAACCAATAAACTGCAATTGAAAACTTTTTCGTCTTGAGATATGAGTATTAGGTATTTTTAACCCTTAACAGCGGAGACAATTTAACAAACACTCCCAATATGCTTATCTTGGATGGGTTATACTTCTTCAGTGACCGATAGGAGAGTCGCCCGCCATACGCGTTGATGCCATATTATTAGGAATATTTCCAATTATCAAGGGTTAACACACTCAACGAGGTTTTCAACTTACTTGGAGATAAAACACATTTATTTACACACCAATATTATGGCTCCAGCTATTTTAGTTGCAAAGAATAGCCGCCAAGGTCGCATGAGGTCAAGTCAACGATGGCACTATATCTAAATTTAGCCGTATTGGTATTATGTATATTGATGCCAAATTTCATGCTTTTACCACAAAGTGCACGAATTTTGAATAATATGGCATAATCCGCTGGACTATTTGGAAGATACAATGATGAAGATAAGGTGACGATAAGGGCCTTGAATATACACATTACTCTTTAAACAGACAAATGATGGCGTTCTTAAAAAATTAGGAAGACATTTTTTTATGATAAATCTCTCTCTATCTGTCTCTCTATCTCTATCTATCACAAATTATTTTGCTGGCTGACTATTGCTTTGTCACATTCCTCGTGGGAAGGGCCGTTCCTGAAACAGAGTACAGAAACACACATGCAGGAAAGAATAAGTAGATCTCAATTCCGTAACAGAAGCATGTACCACACTTGTTCAAACACAAACTGATATCACGTTCAAAACATTAATGATGTTCTTCTGCAATATGTTGTTCATGTTTTCTTACAGATTCATCCACTCTCGCATGTCTGTTGATCTTGAAGCGATGGATCATTGTGAGCCTACAGGGATGATATCATACATAGGTCCAGGCACAGCATGTAATGCCCCTTTCGTCGTCAGAAACCTGGAATGTAATTTGGACTTTACACATCTCTATTACTTAGGAATATTTACGAAAATAATACACGAACACAACAATGACACTCAACATAATGTCTCGTACCTCTGTCAAACAAGAAATGTCATGTGTGTGTGTGTGTGTGTGTGTGTGTGTGTGTGTGTGTGTGTGTGTGTGTGTGTGTGTGTGTGTGTGTGTGTGTGTGTGTGTATGTGTCTCCGTCTATGAGTGGCGCATGACTTCTGTCAAACAAGAGATGTCATGTGTGTGTGTGTGTGTGTGTGTGTGTGTCTCCGTCTATGAGTGGCGCATGACTTCTGTCAAACAAGAGATGTCATGTTTTTGTGTGTGTGTGTGTGTGTGTGTGTGTGTGTGTGTGTGTGTGTGTGTGTGTGTGTCTCCGTCTATGAGAACAATCATTGTTCGGTGCTGCAGTATATGTCAATACTTTACAATTATTGGTCGGTGCTGCAGTATATGTCAATACTTTACAATCACTGTTCGGTGCTGCAGTATATGTCAATACTTTACAATCACTGTTCGGTGCTGCAGTATATGTCACTACTGTACAGTCATTGTTCGGTGCTGCAGTATATGTCAATACTATACAATCATTGTTCGGTGCTGCAGTATATGTCAATACTATACAATCATTGTTCGGTGCTGCAGTATATGTCAATACTGTACAATAATTGTTCGGTGCTGCAGTATATGTCAATACTTTACAATCATTGTTCGGTGCTGCAGTATATGTCAATACTGTACAATCATTGTTCGGTGCTGCAGTATATGTCAATACTATACAATCACTGTTCGGTGCTGCAGTATATGTCAATACTGTATAATCATTGTTCGGTGCTGCAGTATATGTCAATACTTTACAATCACTGTTCGGTGCTGCAGTATCTGTCAATACTGTACAATCATTGTTCGGTGCTGCAGTATATGTCAATACTATACAGTCATTGTTCGGTGCTGCAGTATATGTAAATACTTTACAATCATTGTTCGGTGCTGCAGTATATGTCAATACTATACAATCATTGTTCGGTGCTGCAGTATATGTCAATACTGTACAATCATTTATCGGTGCTGCAGTATATATCAATACTAAACAATCATTGTTCGGTGCTGCAGTATATATCAATACTGTACAATCATTGTTCGTTGCTGCAGTATATGTCAATACTGTACAATCATTGTTCGGTGCTGCAGTATATGTCAATACTATACAATCATTGTTCGGTGCTGCAGTATATGTAAATATTTACAATTTTCGTTCGGTGCTGCAGTATATGTCAATACTATACAATCATTGTTCGGTGCTGCAGTATATGTCAATACTGTACCATCACTGTACGATGCTGCAATATATGTTAATACTTTACAATCATTGTTCGGTTCTGCAGTATATGTCAAAACTGTACAATCATTGTTCGGTGCTGCAGTATATGTCAAAACTGTACAATCATTGTTCGGTGCTGCAGTATATGTCAATACTTTACAATCATTGTTCTGTGCTGCAGTATATGTCAATACTGTACCATCATTGTACGATGCTGCAATATATGTTAATACTTTACAATCATTGTTCGGTTCTGCAGTATATGTCAATACTGAACAATCACTGTTCGGTGCTGCAGTATATATCAATACTATACAATCATTGTTCGGTGCTGCAGTATATGTCAATACTATACAATCACTGTTCGGTGCTGCAGTATATGTCAATTCTTTACAATCACTCTTCGGTGCTGCAGTATATGTCAATACTATACAATCATTGTTCGGTGCTGCAGTATATGTCAATACTTTACAATCATTGTTTGGTGCTGCAGTATATGTCAATATTGTACAATCATTGTTCGGTGCTGCAGTATATGTCAAAACTGTACAATCATTGTTCGGTGCTGCAGTATATGTCAATACTATACAATCATTGTTCGGTGTTGCAGTATATGTCAATACTATACAATCATTGTTCTGTGCTGCAGTATATGTCAATACTTTACAATCATTGGTCGATGCTGCAGTTTATGTCAATACTATACAATCATTGTTCGGTGCTGCAGTATATGTCAATACTATACAATCATTGTTCGGTGCTGCAGTATATGTCAATACTTTACAATCATTGTTCGGTGCTGCAGTATATGTCAATACTTTACAATCATTGTTCGGTGCTGCAGTATATGTCAATACTATACAATCATTGTTCGGTGCTTAAGGTCGTCAAGGCCTAGACCATACAATACTTACGTGTCACTTATTCACTGCATTCAGCGTGATAATGGTATCTAGGCAGTAGGCTTTGCACAAAAGAATTCTGTGACATTTCGCAGAATCCTGGAACAGAAAGGTTCTAACACTAGCATTGGACACACGCCTTCCCATAGTGATGGAACAAGAACGTTTTCTAAAGATTCTGTCTTGAAGTTGCTACGAACATCCTGGTTATACCTTGAAACCCTGTATCGTCAGTTTTTATAGATCAAACATTTTTTTTTTTTGCCACAGAAACTGGACATCTGTGTCCCACTTACTTGACACACCTTTGTTTATACAGCTGGAGTACGTATTTATCACCATACCTGACATCCATTGATAAGGTTTCCATGTGTCGGACCTCCCCGTCCAGAAAGACCAAATGCTGGAGTTCTCTTCTCATGTCCTCAGTGGGACTGCAAGCCTCGCCATGTGCCTCCCTGGCAGAGTCGGACGTCGTCAGACGGAACCTGAACGCCCTCACATAGTGCTCCTCGATATGATCAGCATTGCACTGCAGCACGTTCTGGAGACAAACTACCAACGATAGCAACAATACCTTTACACAGAACACGAGACAAGTCATTGTTAACATTTTCAATACCACTATGCATCGTATCTTTTGAATGTGAGTACCGTTCCTTCTTGACACTGCAACTTACCAGGTCGCCTTCTCTTCTAGAAATGCCCAGCATCCATTTTAGGTAGGATATCTTGCTTGTCTGTTTCTCTAGATACATGTTCATACCAGCGCCATCCTGACCCCAGAGTAACCCCCCAGGCGACCCCTCCCCCCTGTAGAATCCACCCGGGAAGCTGTTGATCCCAGTAAAGGTGCCAGAGAACTTGACCCAGCCTACAAAAGACACAAGACAAAACCACAACTGAATTTACACTGCCGCTCGTCCACAGCATAACAACATATTTAGTTTTCACTGCAAATGTTTAGAATGATGAGAACATTGCTCTCCTAGACTGTGTTCAGATTCCTCTGACATTACATCCATCGTGGAATGAGTGAAATTCACGGAATCATGGGTGTACACAAGGAAGTATCTAACGGTGGTTGGTATCTGAGGGTTTTCAGTATTGATCTCTAAACCAAGGTTATTGTAGTATTCACAGTTCAACCTCCTTGTAACCTGGGTTTCAGGATTCACCTTGCGGTTAGTGCTATTTATTATTTCAAACTCCACCCCCGCCTTAATAGTGCGAGAGTATTACATGTGCCCCACAACCTCACTCACACAAGTTTGAACAACAATAATAATAATAATTCATTTATATAGCGCTGATATATATTATCACGGTCCATGATCACTATGCACTCGATATTCATTCCCACCTGGGGAGTATGCAACCCAAGCTGCCTGTGAAACGCTAGAAGTTTAATGAACAGAGGCACTTGCCTAAGGTGACACCGCATGTGCTACAGTACCGAAGCCCTAGAAACTCTCGGGACTCAGGAAAAACGGTCACCCCTCCAAGGACTCTCCGCGCCCGACGTATCTTAACTTCGATTGATTTGCGACCCAGGAGAGATGGGATAATTTAAATTAAGTAATTGCACCGGTGACGATACAAAGAAACGGAAACTGATAACAGGTCTCATAATCCAGCTTTCTGCCTTATATTCACCTTCTGTGTCAGTGTTCCTCGCAATGTCTTCAGCAGCGCTGGTACAACAGAGTACACATTTAAGCTATTGATTAGGAACTGAACAGATGCATATCAGACAGAAAAATATAAATTTGAATAAATTAAAAGCACAAATGACAGGAAAATTTCTTTAAATTTTCAGTTTAATCGGTTATAATATATATGAAAGATCATTTTAAAAGAATGCGAAAACAGGTTTATTGGTACTCTCCGTTCCCGGGTTCGATTCCCGACATGGGTACAATGTGTGAAGCCCATTTCTGGTGTCCCCCGCCGTGATATTGCTGGAATATTGCTAAAAGCGGCGTAAAACCAAACTCACTCACTCACTCTCCGTTCCCCCGTGCCTGCCGCCTACCGGATGTGTTTGTCTGGTCGAGCAATGGGCAAGTATTCCCCCTCAACAGAGAACTCCCGCTTCCCCGAGAACAGAATTTTAAAATGCACCCACTGAAATACAGAAGGTAACTGCAGTACTGAAGTAATAACGGCGAGTAACGCATGCAATAAATTTTGGTGATGATTGATTGAGTTGTATTTTGTATTTGTTTCTTGTTTATTTTTAGAAAGAAGAAATTCCCAGAAATACAGGCGTTATTACGCTGTATATATGAGTTGCTAACGCCCACCTAGGTAACGGTATGTCTTGAGCCACCGATGGTCATCAGCGTTCCGGAACAGATCAGCCCAGAAACCATACCCTGAGGCAAACACTGCATATCCTACCAAAGGGCCGGGAGATCCGTGGATGCTGACAATGTTCAGACAGTGTTTCTCGCCTGAAAACGTCAAGCAAAGACTAGCAAAACCACAATAAATACAATAATAATATACTTATATTTATGTGATCGATAGTTCTTACTGGAGTAAGCGAGACACAAGCCGTCTCACCTCTAACAACCGCCAAAGTTGCAGTCTCCAGGTCCGTGCATCCGTGACATGCCATACAGATTCCGTTACCCGTGCCTGAAGTAGAATAACACCATGTAGTCGCATTGCTTGTATATCCCACTCCATGCCGTTATTATATGTTTCATAATCAGTATATAAAGTACATATCAGGATACAGATGTCTCACTTTCCTACCTGTGGGCAGAGCGCCGAGTGTGATGGGTAGAGGTTTCAGTTCAACATCAGGGTCATTGAAGTTGACTCTTTTATTAAACCGGGGGATTAGTCCGTGGATGACCTCCTGCATCAACCCGTCCCCGCCGGACACGATGAGCCTGTGCGAGAAGTGTTCACACCATCACCGTCCGTAAGCTGGATTAGGATTGCAAACATAGCCTAATCATGGGTATAGTTAAATGGCTATAATTAAGAAAATAACAAAGATATACCGAAAAGGAAAGAAATGCATATTTGTTTCACACTTTAGATTCTCTAAATCAAGATAATTATTATGATACAATGATGTTCATATGCAGTGTTGGGAAAATACATCTCAAAATGTTCTTTTTTCGTTATATAGTTAGGTTGTGCACCAAATCTTGAAATATTTGGAATGGTATTACCTACAGCTGTACCAAGTTTCATGTTTTTCACCACAAAGTGCACAATGCTTCACGACACGTCCTGCACTGCGGCATCACAAAGTGCACAATGCTTCACGACACGTCCTGCACTGCGGCATCACAAAGTGCACAATGCTTCACGACACGTCCTGCACTGCGGCATCACAAAGTGCACAATGCTTCACGACACGTCCTGCACTGCGGCATCACAAAGTGCACAATGCTTCACGACACGTCCTGCACTGCGGCATCACAAAGTGCACAATGCTTCACGACACGTCCTGCACTGCGGCATCACAATCACATCCCGAGTTTTGAAGAAACTTCGAATGGCTTTTGTAGCATGCTCTTAGTTGACATTAGAAACCGATAGAATTTGGATTACATGAAAGATGATTTTACCGTGGGAAAAGTTTGTTACAATCTTATGTATTGTTCATTAATTACCAAGACATTTTACATTAAAAAGTGTATTTATAATGTGCCAGATTCTAACCACCAACTGGATACTTATAGCGCTACACTATTTTAACCCCGGTAAATGGATCAGTGTGCACTTGATTTTGATTCTCATCTCCCTGAGGAGTATACAAGTCAATCTGCCCGCGGGGCGCTAGACGGTTCACAGCCACATTACCATCTCATTCTACCGGGTATCCACTCACTGCTGGTTGAACAGAGGCAAATTTCGAACAAAGTCACTTGCCACATGTGGAACATGTTCTTCAGTGTTGGGCAGGACCGAAGCCCTAGAAATTCTCAGGAGTCAAGCTGCTGAACGCGGTCACCCATGCAAGTACTCTCCGAGACCGTACACAGGACCAGGTGCCACCACTACCCGCTATGGGTTACATATTTGTGACCAGTGCGCTGTACACAGGACCAGGTGCCACCACTACCCGCTATGGGTTACATATTTGTGACCAGTGCGCTGTACACAGGACCAGGTGCCAGCACTACCCGCTATGGGTTACATATTTGTGACCAGTGCGCTGTACACAGGACCAGGTGCCACCACTACCCGCTAAGGGTTACATATTTGTGACCAGTGCGCTGTACACAGGACCAGGTGCCACCACTACCCGCTATGGGTTACATATTTGTGACCAGTGCGCTGTACACAGGACCAGGTGCCACCGCTACCCGCTATGGGTTACATATTTGTGACCAGTGCGCTGTACACAGGACCAGGTGCCACCACTACCGGCTATGGGTTACATATTTGTGACCAGTGCGCTGTACACAGGACCAGGTGCCACCACTACCCGCTAAGGGTTACATATTTGTGACCAGTGCGCTGTACACAGGACCAGGTGCCACCACTACCCGCTATGGGTTACATATTTGTGACCAGTGCGCTGTACACAGGACCAGGTGCCACCACTACCCGCTATGGGTTACATATTTGTGACCAGTGCGCTGTACACAGGACCAGGTGCCACCACTACCCGCTATGGGTTACATATTTGTGACCAGTGCGCTGTACACAGGACCAGGTGCCACCACTACCCGCTATGGGTTACATATTTGTGACCAGTGCGCTGTACACAGGACCAGGTGCCACCACTACCCGCTATGGGTTACATATTTGTGACCAGTGCGCTGTACACAGGACCAGGTGCCACCACTACCCGCTATGGGTTACATATTTGTGACCAGTGCGCTGTACACAGGACCAGGTGCCACCACTACCCGCTATGGGTTACATATTTGTGAGCAGTGCGCTGTACACAGGACCAGGTGCCACCACTACCCGCTATGGGTTACATATTTGTGACCAGTGCGCTGTACACAGGACCAGGTGCCACCACTACCCGCCATGGGTTACATATTTGTGACCAGTGCGCTGTACACAGGACCAGGTGCCACCACTACCCGCTATGGGTTACATATTTGTGACCAGTGCGCTGTACACAGGACCAGGTGCCACCACTACCCGCTATGGGTTACATATTTGTGAGCAGTGCGCTGTACACAGGACCAGGTGCCACCACTACCCGCTATGGGTTACATATTTGTGACCAGTGCGCTGTACACAGGACAACGTGCCACCACTACCCGCTATGGGTTACATATTTGTGACCAGTGCGCTGTACACAGGACAACGTGCCACCACTACCCGCTATGGGTTACATATTTGTGACCAGTGCGCTGTACACAGGACCAGGTGACACCACTCTCCGCTATGGGTTACATATTTGTGACCAGTGCGCTGTACACAGGACCAGGTGCCACCACTGCCCGCTATGGGTTACATATTTGTGACCAGTGCACTGTACACAGGACAACGTGCCACCACTACCCACTAAGGGTTACATATTTGTGACCAGTGCGCTGTACACAGGACAACGTGCCACCACTACCCGCTATGGGTTACATATTTGTGACCAGTGCGCTGTACACAGGACCAGGTGCCACCACTACCCGCTATGGGTTACATATTTGTGACCAGTGCACTGTACACAGGACAACGTGCCACCACTACCCACTAAGGGTTACATATTTGTGACCAGTGCGCTGTACACAGGGCAGCGTGCCACCACTACCCGCTAAGGGTTACATATTTGTGACCAGTGCGCTGTACACAGGACAACGTGCCACCACTACCCGCTAAGGGTTACATATTTGTGACCAGTGCACTGTACACAGGACAACGTGCCACCACTACCCGCTATGGGTTACATATTTGTGACCAGTGCGCTGTACACAGGACAACGTGCCACCACTACCCGCTAAGGGTTACATATTTGTGACCAGTGCGCTGTACACAGGACAACGTGCCACCACTACCCGCTAAGGGTTACATATTTGTGACCAGTGCGCTGTACACAGGACAACGTGCCACCACTACCCGCTATGGGTTACATATTTGTGACCAGTGCGCTGTACACAGGACAACGTGCCACCACTACCCGCTATGGGTTACATATTTCTAAATTTCCCGATTCGATGTCTGCTTTATAGACACGCTTTTTGTTGAGGTTTTCATCAATTTACTGTTGCAGTATCCCAACAAAACAAAACTTGTGTGACGATGTTTCAACGTTTTTGGAAGAATATGGCCTTGTTAGACTGGAATGAACATGTAAATAGACCAGCAACATCATCGAAGCGTGTCATGGATGTCAGAAACCCCAGACGCCAGGCCGAGACTGAAGTTCTCAAACAGAAAACTTACATCATGTGGGATCGGATTTGGAAGGACTATGTCGCTTTTTTGATAATGACTTGAAACTTTTAACAATGTTATTTGTTACAACATAATGGAATGCATACCGATATTCACGTGTTGCCAATCACCGCATGTATTTTAGATTGAGACACGTGGGTTATAATAAATCGCAGGTTCTGCCAATTTTCCCTTTTGTGTAAAATAGTTACCACGCATGCGCCTGGTTAGGCTCACCTACTTACTGGAAGGTTTTTTAGATATGTATACACTATTGTTTATTTTGGCACTAATGTTTTTACTACAATAGCATGTGCTGTGTGAAATCGCAAAGAACAATGAAGAGCGAAGCGTGGTGTATTTCACGATAAAACATCGTTCTATCATGGCGTAATTTCTGGAGATTCGAACATGCGGTCGCAACTTGATGACGTAAATATGACAACGATATGTTTGAGAGGGAAGTGTCCAGTGAGTTGTTACCCATAGATGTAGCTGGACAGCGCAGATGAACGCAATGACCGCGCGATCGCACCCAAAGGTAGGCGAGGTATAACAATCGGTATTGGGAGAATAGGTACAGACAATCGACGTGAAACGTGTGAGAATATGCGGGAACGACCAAATCTATTTCTTAAGTAATGTGACTCGTAGTTACCCGTCCACATCAGTGAAGTCATATGTCTCAGCGATCTCTTCTGCGTGACGGAATCTCTCTGTGACTGAAATGTAAACAGTATTTCATGTTTATATCTTGTTCATGTATTTCAGATGTTCATCGTTAATGAGGGAAACGTATCATTAACGCCTACTCTAAACACTCCATGACACTTATTGAAACATATTCCAATTTTAAACACTAATTTGTACCAATGCCCAAACGTGTTCCCTTCCTGTATTCCGTTGTACTATCACCGCTGAGGCAGGCATTCCCAGCGTGTTCTCCCATTGTCCGCTTGCAACTGCTTGACTACCTGCATACTGCACGGGTACTACGTTGACTTACTCGACTAACATGTCCATGGACCAACAGTTGACCTTACTTTCACTAAGTAACACCTACTTATACGCTTCGCGTCAATCCCCGCCAGTGCAAACAGTGGTTCTACAATAGTCTCGTACAGCTTGGCTCCTTTCTTCTGTCCCCCGATTGGGTTGACCAGAGTCAGCAGACATTTAGGGCGACCTGAGTGAATAAGAAATGTAGCCTGACATGTTTTAGAAAGAAAACATTTTCAGTCAGCGGTTCAAGAAATACATTTTGTTTCTCTGAAAGAAGGAACCAAACATTTTCAGAACATGTTAAGAGTTTCGAACCTCCTAAGAAAAAATTGAAGCCATTCCTTCTGTTGTCCCGCCTGTACTCACCATGTCCAGTTTTATCACCTACACTGTCTAGCCATTCCGTCTGTTGTCCCGCCCGTACTCACCATGTCCAGTTTTATCACCCACTACCATGTTTTATTACCTACACTGTCTAGCCATTCCGTCTGTTGTCCCGCCAGTACTCACCATGTCCAGTTTTATCACCTACACTGTCTCGCCATTCCGTCTTTTGTCCCGCCTGTACTCACCATGTCCAGTTTTATCACCTACACTGTCTCGCCATTCCGTCTTTTGTCCCGCCTGTACTCACCATGTCCAGTTTTATCACCTACACTGTCTAGCCATTCCGTCTGTTGTCCCGCCTGTACTCACGATGTCCAGTTTTATCAGCTCCACTGTCTAGCCATTCCGACTGTTGTCCCGCCTGTACTCACCATGTCCAGTTTTATCACCTACACTGTCTAGCCATTCCGTCTGTTGTCCCGCCTGTACTCACCATGTCCAGTTTTATCACTTACACTGTCTAGCCATTCCGGCTGTTGTCCCGCCTGTACTCACCATGTCCAGTCTTATCACCTACACAGTCTAGCCATTCCGTCTGTTGTCCCGCCTGTACTCACCATGTCCAGTTTTATCACCTACACTGTCTAGCCATTCCGTCTGTTGTCCCGCCTGTACTCACGATGTCCAGTCTTATCAGCTACACAGTCTAGCAATTCCTTCTTTTGTCCCGCCTGTACTCACCATGTCCAGTTTTATCACCTCCACTGTCTCGCCATTCCGTCTTTTGTCCCGCCTGTACTCACCATGTCCAGTTTTATCAACTACACTGTCTAGCAATTCCTTCTTTTGTCCCGCCTGTACTCACCATGTCCAGTTTTATCACCTACACAGTCTAGCCATTCCTTCTTTTGTCCCGCCTGTACTCACCATGTCCAGTTTTATCAACTACACTGTCTAGCCATTCCGGCTGTTGTCCCGCCTGTACTCACCATGTCAAGTTTTATCAACTACACTGTCTAGCCATTCCGTCTGTTGTCCCGCCCGTACTCACCATGACCAGTCTTATCAGCTACACTGTCTAGCCATTCCTTCTGTTGTCCCGCCTGTACTCACCATGTCCAGTTTTATCACCTACACTGTCTAGCCATTCCGGCTGTTGTCCCGCCTGTACTCACCATGTCCAGTTTTATCAACTACACTGTCTAGCCATTCCGTCTTTTGTCCCGCCTGTACTCACCATGTCCAGTTTTATCACCTACACTGTCTCGCCATTCCTTCTGTTGTCCCGCCTGTACTCACCATGTCCAGTTTTATCACCTACACTGTCTAGCCATTCCGGCTGTTGTCCCGCCTGTACTCACCATGTCCAGTTTTATCACCTACACTGTCTAGCCATTCCGGCTGTTGTCCCGCCTGTACTCACCATGTCCAGTTTTATCAACTACACTGTCTAGCCATTCCGGCTGTTGTCCCGCCTGTACTCACCATGTCCAGTTTTATCACCTACACTGTCTAGCCATTCCGGCTGTTGTCCCGCCTGTACTCACCATGTCCAGTCTTATCAGCTACACTGTCTAGCCATTCCGTCTGCTGTCCCGCCTGTACTCACCATGTCCAGTTTTATCACCAACACTGTCTAGCCATTCCGTCTGTTGTCCCGCCTGTACTCACCATGTCCAGTCTTATCAGCTACACAGTCTAGCAATTCCTTCTTTTGTCCCGCCTGTACTCACCATGTCCAGTTTTATCAGCTACACAGTCTAGCAATTCATTCTTTTGTCCCGCCTGTACTCACCATGTCCAGTTTTATCACCTCCACTGTCTCGCCATTCCGTGTTTTGTCCCGCCTGTACTCACCATGTCCAGTTTTATCACCTACACTGTCTAGCAATTCCTTCTTTTGTCCCGCCTGTACTCACCATGTTACCAGTTTTATCAACTACACTGTCTAGCCATTCCGTCTGTTGTCCCGCCTGTACTCATCATGTCCAGTTTTATCAACTACACTGTCTAGCCATTCCGTCTGTTGTCCCGCCTGTACTCACCATGTCCAGTTTTATCACCTACACTGTCTAGCAATTCCTTCTGTTGTCCCGCCTGTACTCACCATGTCCAGTTTTATCAACTACACTGTCTAGCCATTCCGTCTGTTGTCCCGCCTGTACTCACCATGTCCAGTTTTATCACCTACACTGTCTCGCCATTCCGTCTTTTGTCCCGCCTGTACTCACCATGTCCAGTTTTATCACCTACACTGTCTCGCCATTCCGTCTTTTGTCCCGCCTGTACTCATCATGTCCAGTTTTATCACCTACACTGTCTCGCCATTCCGTCTTTTGTCCCGCCTGTACTCACCATGTCCAGTTTTATCACCTACACTGTCTCGCCATTCCGTCTTTTGTCCCGCCTGTACTCACCATGTCCAGTTTTATCACCTACACTGTCTAGCCATTCCGTCTGTTGTCCCGCCTGTACTCACGATGTCCAGTTTTATCAGCTCCACTGTCTAGCCATTCCGACTGTTGTCCCGCCTGTACTCACCATGTCCAGTTTTATCACCTACACTGTCTAGCCATTCCGGCTGTTGTCCCGCCTGTACTCACCATGTCCAGTTTTATCACTTACACTGTCTAGCCATTCCGGCTGTTGTCCCGCCTGTACTCACCATGTCCAGTCTTATCAGCTACACAGTCTAGCCATTCCGTCTGTTGTCCCGCCTGTACTCACCATGTCCAGTCTTATCAACTACACTGTCTCGCCATTCCGTCTGTTGTCCCGCCTGTACTCGCCATGTCCAGTTTTATCAACTACACTGTCTAGCCATTCCGTCTGTTTTTTTCGGAGGGGAGAGGGGGGGAGAGAAAGGATACCTGACTTTTTAGCATGGAATAAATACTTGCAAATGCTCTATGTGTGTCAGTTCCTATTTGATGATATTTCCATTAACATATTTGAAATAAAACACATTTTTATTTAAAAAAATGTTTTTATACATATTCCATGGTAAACAAAAATCACATTTTCTCATTTTCTATTAAGTCTTCAGGATACTTCATCCTGAAAGCCGTAGTATTTACTAGCGACTGTCTGTTTGTTTAATTTTTTGACACCAACACAGTCATTTCTTGGAATTCTTGCAGCAGTACTTCAGTTGCGTTTTGGGCTCTGCATTCTAACAGTTTCTGTCATAATTACATGTTTTCAGATTTCAGATCAAAATCTTTAATGAACAATCGGGATTCGTTTCATGTTGCGATTGTATGTCTTACTTTCCCTGTTTTTTCATGTTGCACATTAACAATATACAGAAACGTCGCTCATAAACACACACAAACATTTGTCCCGAGAACTGGAACTTTTCACTACAGGGTCGGAACATTTTCGCTGCAATTTTATGTATTTAATGCTTACAAAAACAAAAACATGCTTACACCATGTCATCATCTTATCTTAATTGCGTGGATGCCAACCACTAGATTGTCTGATCCAGACTCAATTATTTACAGACCGCCGTCATACAGCCATCTTCCCGAAGCAAGCCAGTCAAATGACTGTAATGACTTTTATAGTCAGTTAACTCCCCTACCTCGGGAAGACGTCATACAGCTGGAATGCGGCGTTAATGCAACAATCAAGTCTTTATCTGATTGCAATGACATTAAATCTGTATTAAATTACTATGTTTAGTTTAGTTTCGAAACTGAAAACGAAATGTTCTTGACATAATAGTCTTTCACAAACCCGTCCAGTACGAGGAAATATGTTTTAATCAGGAATCAGATTGTACAAGGCTTTTATGGTTGAGCATAATTCAGTCATTTAAAGATTCTACCTTAAATTAAGCTGTGCTATTCATTTTATAGCTGTGCTATTATGCCATGTGATATTATTTCATTCTATTCCACACCACGCCACGACAATGTTCTAGTATGCTATGATATGCTCATGCAGAATTGTGCAAAAATAGCAGTGGAAAGGTTGTTTTGCGTGATCATATAGGCAAGAAAAATTATAGTTATAGTCAGAAAGTATATGCTTTTACCCCTGTCTCAAAATGGCAAATCATAATTTCAATATTTAAAAGGCGTTAAGAATACTCCAGGAATGGTTGGAAATAGTTGACTGTGCTGACAAGTTATGTCCTATTGCTGCGAGAGGTGTGTTCACTCACGTGGAAGACGCACTGCCACACTGACTGCCAACACTATTCCCACGAACATGATTTAGGTAATCTTGTGTTAGAAATTCTGCAGACAATTAAACACATTTAACATTGATAAAACACTTGGCAGATTGACAGTTTTATATGAAGTATACTGAAGAACAAAAGTTCCTGTGACATTGAATAAGATTTAATGCAAAGTTATGTTTTTTACCAAATCTGAAACAATTTCGGTTTGCAACAGAAAAAAGACCATGTAAGTGTTCAAATGGTTTAATTTGCCATGCTGACTTCAGAAAATGCGTGATTTCATTAAAAAAAAACATGAACGTGCTAAAAGTCAATTTACAAATCAATAGCGTGTGTGTCCACCTCTGGTTGCGATACAAGCAACAAATCTTCGTCTTATGGAATGGACAAGGCGTCGCACAAATTTCTGTGGGATATCTGCCCATATCTGCTGGAGCTAGTTTCGAAGTTACTGGAGTGTATGTGGAACACGTGGTGGACGTCGAAGGCGCCGATCCATATCATCCCGCATGTGCTCGATTGGTGAGAGATCGGGGGAGCGAGCCGGCCAGGGGATGACATTCACGTTGTTTTGTTGAATAGAATCCTGAACAAGTCGAGCAATATGAGACCGGGCGTTGTCATGTTGAAAGGTAATGCCTGGGTCATGACGACGCAAAAACTGTAGAACAACAGGGCCGATGATTTCGTCGCGGTAGCGCTGTCCATTGAGATTTCCCTCTACCACTATCAAATGGGTCCTCTGTCTTGCTGTAATCCCACCCCATACCAAAACGCTGCCGCCACAGAACCGATCTTCTTCCATGACACAATGATTGACGTAACGTTCACCTCGACGTCGGTACACTCGAATCCGTCCATCGCTGTGGCTGAGGTGAAAACGGGACTCGTCAGTGAATAGAACTTGTCCCCACTGCATGGCCGTCCAGCGTAGACGCTGTCAGCACTACTGTTAGACGTGCTTGACGGTTGTTTCCTGTCAAAATAGGACGTCTGGTGGGTCTTCTGGCGTCAATCCCTGCACATCTGAGGCGACGACGTACGGTTTGTGAAGATATTCGTCGAAGGCCAGGGATGCTTCTTGTAGTCACTGTTGCTGGCTGGAATCGATTTCGTAGGAGTGTTGTTCGAATCCAGTTGTCTTGTCGATTATTGGTTACGCGTGGCCTACCACTCCGAGGATGATCTCTGACTGCATTCGTCTGTTGCCAACGTTGCCATAAACACCAAATGGTGTTTCTGTGGACGTTAACTTGTCTTGCAACATGACGTTGACTCGATCCTGCTTCAAGAATACCAATGGCTCTCAGAAGCTCATTTTCTGACAGGCGCGGCATTTCGTAATGTTGATTAATTGCGTAATTTTGTTGTTTTTCTGAGTGGTTGTTGTCAGCACGATGCTAAACAACGCATATGGAATCCCGTTAACGCACATGTTTTTATACCCATTCTTGGGTAGTGAAATGCATGGGACTTGCATAAAAGTCAACTTTTGCATTGAATGCATGCTTTTCTGTAGCAGTTGCGTTTTTGTGACTTGATTTCATACATGTACTACAATATTGAAAATCAAACTTTACTTGTTTGAAAAATATTGGTGTCACAGGAACTTTTGGTGTTGAGTATATTTCACCCATCCATGTATGTTCATCTGTAAATGCTCCCAGTGTAACAAATGTTACAGTGAATTGCACATCAAGGTGTTGTGTCCAAATGGGTTTTTGTTTCCGAAAATATTTCATACTTATTTCCTTCAGAAAATTCGAGTAATCGACGTTTGTATTTCGGCCATTCGGGACATAACTATATTACAGTCCCGTTTTTTGAAACTGTTATAAATATATAACGTTTCATTTGTGCATACTAGTTGTGTGGTTTTTTTTGGTGTATACTAGTTGTGTGCTTGTTTGTGTATACTAGTTGTGTGAGCTTGTTTGTGTATACTAGTTGTGTGTGCTTGTTTGTGTATACCAGTTCTGTGAGCTTGTTTGTGTATACTAGTTGTCTGAGTTTGTTTGTGTATACTAGTTGTGTGAGCTTGTTTGTGTATACCAGTTGTGTGAGCTTGTTTGTGTATACCAGTTGTGTGTGCTTGTTTGTGTATACCAGTTGTCTGAGTTTGTTTGTGTATACTAGTTGTGTGTGTTTGTTTGTGTATACCAGTTGTGTGAGCTTGTTTGTGTATACCAGTTGTCTGAGTTTGTTTGTGTATACTACTTGTGTGTGCTTGTTTGTGTATACCAGTTGTGTGTGCTTGTTTGTGTATACTAGTTGTGTGAGCTTGTTTGTGTATACCAGTTGTGTGAGCTTGTTTGTGTATACCAGTTCTGTGAGCTTGTTTGTGTATACCAGTTGTCTGAGTTTGTTTGTGTATACTAGTTGTGTGTGCTTGTTTGTGTATACCAGTTGTGTGAGCTTGTTTGTGTATACTAGTTGTGTGTATTTGTTTGTGAATACTAGTTGTGTGCGCTTCTTTGTAAAGTTGTATGTGTTTCTTTGTGTATACTAGTTCTGTGTATTTTTTTGTGTATACTAGTTGTGTGTGCTTGTTTGTGTATACTAGTTGTGTGAGCTTGTTTGTGTATACTAGTT